GGGCTGGAGGTGAAGACAGGAGGATCTCTGAGGGGCTTGTTGGTCAGCTGGTCCAGTCAATCAGAGAGCTCCATGAGAGATGCTACCTTAAATAATAAAGTGGCGGGCTGGAGGGATGCTTAAAGGTTAAGAGGACTTGCTGTTCTTCCAGAGGCTCCAAATTTGTTTCCAAGCACTCATGATAGGTGGCTCACAACCACTTGTTCCTCCAGTAATGGGGGATCTGATACCCTCTGTAGGCACCCACACACATTGGCATGCACGCCCATGAAGGAGGCAGAGGCAGACGGATCTCTGTGAGTTCAAGGCGGGTCTGGCCTACATAGTTCCAGGTCAGCTGGGGCTACAGGGAGACCCTGTCTCAAAAAGACCAAAAATAAATAAATAAATTATGTATAGAGCATGGTGTCATATACCATTAATTCCAGCACTCAGGAGACAGAGGCAGGTGGATCTCTGTGAGAGTGAGGTCAATCTGGTTATATAGCAAGTTCCAGGCCAGCTTGGGCTACAGAGAGATCGTGTCTCAAAAAAACAAAACAAAACCAAAAAAGTCCTGACTGGAAAATTTGCCAATTTCTGTGGTAAGTACTCTCACTAAGGCCATTTCAAGCTACCAAAGTAATGACCACTGAACAGAGGGTTGGGAAAAGATGGGCAGTTAAACGCTGTCACACTGTTTCTACCATATGTCAATAACAAGTGTTCACAACCTCCAGGGCACAGCTAGAAGAAGAGTGATTTGGAAGGGACAGATCTTACATATTTATGTTCTTTGCTCATTTAATTTTAAGTTTTATGATTTAATTGTTAATAATGACCATGTTTAACAAAGTAGTTGACAAAATTCCTGGAAGTTGAAACCATCAGCTCTAGCAAGCTAGACTGAGCCACTCCTGCTCAGGGGCCCTTCTGCACTGAGTTGGCAGTCACTGGGATTGGACCTAAAAGAACTCACTAACCAAGTTTTGGTGATATTGAAAGCAGTTAGCTGCCTGTATTAATTACACAGGATCGCCACCTAGTGACACAACAGAGACTGTCTGGGTCTCGGAGGCTGTTGGGCCTTTCTAACCCAGCCTGGAAAATGACTTTTGGGGCTGACTGCTCTGTACTGGCTTCCAGATCCCCAGTTGATTGAATCCTAGGGACTTGTCACCTCCATTAACAGACCTGTTCTTCTAGTCATGTTACAGTACCAACCTTGTTGCATCCTCTCTACAAAGCTTTCTTAGAATGAGGAAAAGAAATGAGAGGCTGGGTCTGAGGATCAGCTGACTTTGTGTGTGTGTGTGTGTGTGTGTGTGTGTGTGTGTGTGTGTGTGTGAGAGAGAGAGAGAGAGAGAGAGAGAGAGAGAGAGAGAGAGAGAGATCAGGTATCAGGCATGGGTATAAGCATATAGGTACCACAAGCAATCATGTGGAGGTCAAAGGACAACTTTTAGGATCCAGTTCTCTCCTTCCACCACGTGGTGTGAGTTCTAGGGATCAAACGTTCAGGCTATCAGGCCTTGGTGACAAATTCTTTATCCACTGAGCCATCTCACTGGCCTTCAATTTCAGTGTTGAATTTATCATTTCTAATGCACATAAATATAACATATTTGTGTGTGATATTCTTTTATTTATTTATGTATTTATTTATTTATATGAGGTTTGCCTCAAATGCACTGTGTAGCCAGGAATGTTCTTAAACTTCTGATCCTCCTGCCTCCACCTCCCAAGTGTTGGAATTATGGACATAAGCCACCATACTCACCTATGCAGTGCTGAGGACCAAACCCAGGGCTTCATACATGCTAGGCCAATACCAACTGATCCACATCCCCAGTACCCTGTTCTGTCATTTTGTTGAACTCTGTTATGAGCAGCTTTTTGCTGTGTTACTTGAGAGTGTCTTCAGGCACGGTTGTCTTCTAGCCATCAATATGTTGTAAGCAAGGCACTGTGAGCAGGGGTCGTTCCCTCAGCCAGGGCTCATGAAGCACTATAGCAAGGTACTAGTTTGAGCCAAGTGAGGTGGTACACACCTATAATCCCAGCCCTTTGGGGCTGGGACAGGAGGAAGATGAGTTTGAGGATAGGTGGGCTACCTAGCAAGTTTAAGGCCAACCTGGGCTACTGGTCTCAAAAAACAAAAAAGAAAAGGCACCCAGGTGGCAGGTGGCGAGTGGGGGTGTGAGGCTGGGATGTGAGCAGGGGCCACACCGGGCAGGGGTTCTGTAGCTTTGTTCCTTTTCCCAAGAGCAGAGAGAAGCAGTGAGGAGGGTTTTCAGGTAGTAGGGTGAACTGATTAAAGCAGAGCTAGGGTGATGGTCGGTGGTCTTTGAAGAAGTACCTGAGGAAGAGGAAGAGGGAAGACTTGGTCAGAGGTGGGGGCAGAAGGGCCCAGCTGCCCATGTAGATGAATTGTCTTGTCTTCTCACTAAGTGATCTTAATGCCCTCCCCTCGGGGCCCTTCAGCAGAGGGTCTGCACTATACTCAAGTGAACTTGGATTCCAGAGACCGCATCAGTCTGAACTACCAACAGTAGGGTTTTTCTCTCTGGATGTAAGAGACTGAATTTCCTAACACAAGTATTTGGGGGTAGGGGTGTGCGCACCCACGTGTACCTAGGTGTCTATGTGCATGCATTCCCCACCATGCTTTGTGGAACGGGCAAGCTTCCTCTTTCCCTCCTGGGGCATTGGATGTCTACCCCATCCCCCTTCTATTTCAGGTTGCTGGGAAATCAGATGACTTATGGTACCCAGCTAATGGCTCTTATTAACCAAATGCTGACACATGCCCAGTATATATAGGATGCTTAGTTAAAAGTCTGCTTGCTGGCCTGCTTTCAAAGCAGCAAGTGCTTCTCAGAAACTGGGGATTACCAATGAACACTGGGTAGGAAATGACATCATGGTAATGATCCATGAGGTGCCTTTGATCTGTCATCAGAGAAAAGTGCTTTGTATGAGAGGAAGGACAGGAGGTACCCCTGGGGTTTGCTCCCTTCCACTAGGGCTGGGGACAGAGCTCAGGCTCAGTCAAGGGATTTACCCCAACCTAGCAGAGTTCATCGCACCTAGTGTAGAGCTGTCATCCAAGGGCCTCAGCAGGGCCACTGGCTGCAGCCTCCTGAGAGCGCAGCTCAAAGCGTGTGGTGAGTCTTTCTAGAACTAAAGGTGGAGGTGAGACCACGCCTTTTCCTCCTTCCTCTGTAGGTGTGAGCAGACAGATGAGACAGGTCCCCCATGGTGACATCTACCTCAGGCCCTTTTGTTTTTAATTGCATTGATTTATTTAGTCCCGGGAGCGGAGGGGGACCTGTATGCCATGGAGCACATGTGGAGATCAGAAGACAGCTTTTGAGAGTCTGGTTTCTCCTTCCACCATGTGGGTCCTGGGGATTGAACTCAGATCATCAGGTTTGGCAGCAGCAAGCACCTTTACCCACTGAGCCATCTCGCTGGCCTCTGGGACCCTTTTAGAAAAGAGCTTAAGCTAAGTTCCTTTTGTAGGCTTTGCTTAGGTTGTTGTGTTAATGTTTCTGGTTTTTTGAGACAGGGTCTTAATATGTAGCCAACACTGACCTCAAACTCGCAGAGATCGTCCTGCTTCTGCCTTCCAAGTACTTAGATTAAAGGCATGTACCACCATGCCCGGGTCTTTGGGTTGTTCTTAAGCAAAGTGGGAAAAATGTGTCTTCTAAGTTTCTCCTTTTAAATTTTTAAAAAATTTTTATTTTGTGTGTATTGAGTGTTGCCTGCATTTAAGTGCACCCATACTTGCAATGCCCAAAGAGACCAGAAGAGGGTGTCAGATCACTTGAAACTGGAGTTACAGATGTTGTCAGCCACCAAGTGAACACTGGAAACCAAACCCAGATCTTCTGCAAGGGTAGCCAGTGCTCTTAACTGCTGAGCCATCTCTCCAACCCTTTAAAATTTTATATGTATGAGTGTTTTGCCTGCATGCAAGTGCACTCATGCCTGCAGTGTCCACAGGGGTCAGAAGAGAGCATCAGATCCCCTGGAACTGTAGTTACAGACAGTTGTTAGCCACCATGTGGGTGCTGGGAACCAAACCTGGATCCTCTGCAAGAACAACTAAAGCTTTTAACCACTGAACCATCTCTCCAGCTCCTAAAATATGCTTTAAAATTGTGACATCTTCAAACAGTAGCCTAGTATAAATCAACAAAGATGAATGAACTACAATTATGTGCTTAGAAACACAGCAAGTGATGGTACAATATACAACCAAAAACCCAGACTGACTACACAGAGCATTGAGGTGTATTTACCTGTGGGGTAGACAGTAAAGATAAGCAGGACAATTATTAAAACAGAATGTAGGGTAGGACTGGGAGATGGTTTGTTAGGTAATAACATTTGCTCTGTGAGCATGAGGACCTGAGCTTGAATCCCCAGCACCAATGTAAACAACCAGGCATGGCCATATGTGCCTGTAACCCCAGTGTTGGGAGCAGAGACCTGAGAGCAGCCAGCCTAGCAGAATTGATGAATTTCCTGGAAGTTCAGTGAGAGGCCCTGTCAAGGGAATAAAAGGGAAAGAAGATACCTGATGCCCACTGGTATGCACATGGGTGTATGCATCCCCCACATATGTGTACACACACACAGTGTAGGGGCGTGGTAAAGCAGTAGCATGTGTCTGATTGGCAAAAGGTCTGTTTCTAAAGCTGAGGGAGGAGAGGTGGATGTGCAACTCATACACAAGCATTCAGGTATGCCTTCCCAGCTTCTCTCTTCTCATTTCCTTCTGTGCTGGGGACACAATACTAGCAGCTCATGTTTATTAACAGTGTTTACTGTGCAACACCCTTGTCAAGGAGAGGGTCTTCCTAAGGGGAAGCGCAGGGAGTACACCCTGGGCCTTATAAGAGGCAAGTGGATTTGCCCTTGAGCAAGGCCATGCCATCCCCTGCTTCAGCTCCAAGTACTGCTGCCTCTTCTTGATTCCTTTCTTCCATCTGCTTCTACTCTCTCCACAGGGTCCGGAGACAAACAACCAGCAGGCCTCCTCCAGCAGGCGGCAGACCAAAGCCCCAGCCCAAGCCCAAGCCTCAGGTGCCACAGTGCAAAGCTTTATATGCTTACGACGCTCAGGACACAGATGAGCTCAGCTTCAATGCCAACGATGTCATTGATATTATTAAAGAAGGTAAGTGATGGCAGCTGCACAGGCTCCCAGAGAGCTGGCGGTGCCTTTCCATAAAAACTAAAGGTGAGGGGCTGGATAGACGGCTCAGTGGTTAAGAACACTGGCTGATCTTGCAGAAGTCCCGGGTACAAATTCCAGCACCCACGTGGCAGCTAACAACTTTCCATAACTCCAGTCCCAGGGGATCCAACAGCCTCTTCTGTCCTCCACGAATATTGCATGACATGGGTGCACTTACCTACATGCAGGCAGTACATGCATACACATAAAAAAAAATAAAAATAATAAATAAATAAAGGTGAAGGGAGTTCATGGGCTCACTTATCAGAAGTGTGTAGACAGAAGTAGGGCGGGTCTCAAGCTGTTTGATCAAGACCCTTTACAATGCCAGGAATTGAACTCAAGGCCTTGTGTATGCTAGGCCAGCACTCTACCACTGAACTACGTCCCCCATCTTCTAAGTCAGTTTTCTTCCTTTCTAAAAGTTTTTTATTTTTTTAATGTGTGTATGAGTGTTTGCATACATGTGTGTATGTGCACAATGTACATTCCTGGTGCCTGAGGAATATGGAGGAATCAAATCCCCTGGAGCTGGACTTATAGATAGTTGTAAGCAGCCATGTGGTTGCTGGGAACTGAATTCAGGTTCCCTGTAAGACCATCAAGTGCTCTTAACCACTGAGCCATATCTTCAGCCTCATAATATTTTTTCTCATGCTCTGTGTGTGTCTATGTATATATTGTATGTGCAAGTGTATGTGTGTGTACAGGTATGCTCACCCATGTGTGTACATGTGGAGGCCAGAAGTCAACATCAGGTGTCTTCCTCTATTGCTTTCCATCCTTTTTTATTTTATTTTTTTTTTAATTTTATTTTATGTACATGAGTATATTGCCTGCATGTATGTGAGTGCACCCGTGTCATGCAATGCCACGGAGGCCAGAAGAGGGCTTAGGATTCCCCTGGAACTGTAGTTAAGGACGGTTTGTGGCCGCCATGTGGGTGCTGGGAATTGAACCTGGGTCCTCTGCAAGAGCAGTCAGTGCTCTTAACCGCTGAGCCATCTCTCCAGCCCCCTCCATCCTATTTTTTGAGACAGGGGTCCTCCTGTCTCTGTTCCCCCAGTGCTGGGGTTACAGATAGCTGGGCTTTTCTGTGTGTGCAGGGCATCAGACTGAGTCAGAGCCATCCCCACTGCCCCAGGAATTGTGTTTTTAATAGGTTCCTTTATCAGGAGACCTGATTCTGAGAGAATTCTAGCTTACTGAACTAACTTCCTTCCAATCCCCTGTTATTTTTCAGTTTTTTACAGAATTAAATATGTTAATCCATTTGGTGTTCTTCAAAGTGCCAGAGTTGCTAGGCGTGGTGATGCATATCTTTAATCCCAGCACTCAGGAAGCAGAGGCAGATGAATTTCTCTGACTTCAAGGCCAGCCTGGTCTACATAGTGAGTTCCAGGCCAGCCAAGGCTAAAGAGTGAGTCCCTGTCTAAAAAACAAACAAAAAAACAGAAACAAACAAAGAAAACCAACCACACCAGAGAGTTGAGTCAAAGTAAGTGTTGACATGTTGAAAGACTCTTACAGGTTTTTATCACCAGCCTGGTTTAGTAAAACTATTAAGACCTGCTACTCAATAATAGAAACATAAAGGCCAGGTATAATGGTAGACACCTTTAACCCCAGCACTCGGGAGGCAGAGGTAGGCAGATCTCTGTGAGTTCCAGGCCAACTTAGTCTATATAGCAAGTTCAGGCCTGCCAGAACTACATAGTAAGTGAAGCCCTGTCTCAATAATAATGATGACAATTGGGACATAGTTAAACTATAATATTCATTCAGTAAGTTTTCATGCAAAAATAATTTTGTAACATGAAAAATGCCTGTGAGAAAAGGAGACAGAGGCTGGCCTGGCAGCACATGCCTGTGAGCCTGGCACTCGGCACTCAAGCGAAGGAGGCGGGATTGGGACTGACTGCTAGTGGCCTCCTGTGCAAAGGCAGGTCACATCTTAGACGATAATCTCGAATGCCAAGCTTTGAATGGGAAAGCATCCATGTATGACATAAAACATGTGAATTGGGCTACTTTCTGTTTAGTGTTTTTATTTAAAGACAGGGTCTCATGTACCCTAGGCTGGCCTCAAACTTGACATATAGCTTAGAATGACCTTGAACTGCCTGCCCAACAAGCATGCGCCACCATACCAGTGCTAGAGATGAAACCCAGAGTTTCTGCTAAGCACGAGTACTATGAACTAGCCACATCCACAGCCCTGGAGGGGGTCGCTCTGTACAACAAACTTTTTAAGATTTTATTTTATCCTATGTGTATGAATGTTTTGCCTGCATGTATGTTAGTGCACCACATGTGTGCCTGGTGCCTGCAGAGGCCAGAAAAGAGCATGGGATGAGTGTCGGCCACCAACTGAATGCTGGGAACCAAACCTGAGTCCTCTGCAAGAGTAGTCAGTGCTTTTAACCACTGAGTCACCTCTCCAGCCCCACAAATTTTTTCATAACAAAATAAAACACAGAAGAAAGAAGAAAGTGGGTGGAGCTACGCCATGGGCTTGAGCCCATGAGGACAGAATGGCCCATAATCTCTACACTTTTGCCTCCACAGATCCTTCTGGCTGGTGGACGGGTCGACTACGAGGCAAGCAGGGCCTGTTTCCAAACAACTATGTGACCAAGATCTGAGGTGCCCAAAGACTGATGCATGGGGCAGAGGTGCTCCAGGTGCAGACTGGGGAGGAGACATTTGGGGACTCCCCATCTGCTCCACAGTGAGCAATTGCTGCTCCAAGGCCTGGAGCTATTCTGGCACCTTCTCCATGGAGGACACAGAAAAGCTTGGGTTAGGGACGAGGAATATCACTCTATAAATGATCCAAAAAGGTAGCCTAATTCCCAAAGGGCAAAAACAACAACCCACTGAGCTTTATTTATTGTATTTAAGCCTGATGAGAGAAGTTAGAGTCATTCCGACCAGGTTGGTTTCTATCATACAGCCCTGCGCTCGCTCACCAGGTCCAGGGAAGAGCAGGTGGCCCTGACAAGTGCCTTTAGTTGAAGAGCACGTTTCTTTCATTCCTATTTTCCATACCTGATGCATTCCTCTCTGCTAACCCTCCTTCATGGAGGAGCCGCCCTCTGCAGGCCTGGCTTGGGATGTACATACCAGGCTGGCTTGGGAGCCCACAGGGGCATGGCCTCAAGGACTACGGGCAGAGACTGGGCTGGGCGCTGGGCTGTCAGCCTTGCTTTCTCTGGGTCTTCAGTTGGAATGTGGCTGGCCCATGTTGGTTTTATGTTTAATGCTGTACTTATAAGATGGATCTCTTTTTTTTCCAAGCTGTACATTTATAAAAAAAACAGATCATATACTGTATATAGAAAAATCTCAAGATGATAGAAACATGTATGAATGCACTAAGTAGTAGCCCACTGTACCCATTTGTAAAGGTAGGTTTCGTTACAGAACTCGCACCAGGTACTTACGGTCTCGCCCTCTCCTCATCTACAGGAATGTCACTGCTTTCCTGCGCAGTCTCCCGCTGACCCTTTGTAACCTTTCCCTGTGGGTAATTGGTCCCTCTGCCACCTTCCCCATCCCTTAAATAAAAATAAAGGACTCAATGAAATGCCTTGTTCTTTACGGGTTATCATTTTCTCCCCCTAAAAAAAGGAAGTTGGCATTCTACACAGTATTGTTGGACCTCTTTCCAGGGCCGTAACAAGAAACAGCCTCTGGTTGAAGAGTCCATGGCCTGTTGGCCCATCATACATCAAGGTGAGGAGTGTTAAGGTGCAAAGCTGCTCCCCTCATGGTAGCTGGGAAGCAAAAGAGGAAGGAAAGGGTTGAGACCTCAATATCTCTTTAAGAGCAAGCTCACAGTGGCTTAAGTTCCTTCCACTGGGCTCCACCTTCTAAAGGTCCCACCACCTCCCAACAGCACCACAGGCTGGAGACCAGGCCTTTCTTAACACAAGGGCCCTTGGGGACAGTCAAGATATTAGAAATTCAAGATCCAAACTTATAGCAACTCCAGTACCTCAGCATATGATCGTATTGGGAAAGGAGGTCTGTCCTAGTTTGTTTCTTCATTGCTGTGACAAAACACTCTGACCACTACCAACTTGGAGAGGAAAGGGTTTATTTGTCTTACTTCTCCTGGGTCACAGTTCATCAGTGAGCCCACGGTAGGAACTCAGGGCAGGAACCTGGAGGCAGGAGCTGGAGCACAGGCCATAGAGGCCTTACTGGCTTGCTCCCCTGGCCCCTGCTCAGCCTTCTTTCTTATGCAACACAGGCCCACCTGCCCAGGGGTGGCACCACCCACAGTGGGCTGGGCCCTCCCACATCACTCAGTAATCAAGAAGATGCCCCATTTCCTACTACCCAGATGAGATTTCAGACTCGCCAACATCTTGCTCTAGGACTTGTGGCTTCTAGAATAGCATGACTGTACCTCACTTCTCAGGCACCCAGTACTTGTTAAGGTAGCCTAGCAAATTCATACAGTACTCACTGCTGTAATAGTAAAGAGTGGGAAACAATGTTAAGCCATCAGTCATGGAATGGCCGCAGGAGCCTGAAGGTCATCACCGCCCCTCCAGTTGCACATCTATTCTTTTGTTACTGATTTTTGAGAGTTTAAATATGTAGTCCAGGCTGGCCTGGAACTCACCATCCTCCATGTCCCGCTCATAGCTTTTTGTAAAAAAGTTTTTTTATCTTTTATTTTATGTGTATGAGTGTTTTGCCTGCATGAATGTTAAGTGCACCCGCATCGTGCAATGCCATAAGAGAGTGTCAATCTCCTAGAACTGGAATTAAGAACAACTGGTAGTCACTGTGTGGGTGCGGGGAACCAAACTTGGGTCCTTTACAAGAGCATCTAGTATTCTTAACAGCTGAGCCATCTCTCTAACCCCATCAACCAATATTTTAGAGGCCATTTGTGCTGGATAGCTTTAGTATCAACTTGGTACACCTGGGTCGAAGGAGCCTCAACTGGGGAACTGCCTCCATTGGACTGGCCTGTTGCCATGTCTGTGGGGCATTTTCTTGATTGTTGAGCCACAGTGGGCTGGTAGCACCCCTGGGCAGGTAGGCCTGTGTTACATAAGAAAGCAGGCTAAGCAGGGGCCAGGGGAGCAAGCCAGTAAGCAACATTCCTCCATGGCCTGTGTTCCAGATCCTGCCTCCAGGTTCTAGCCCTGAGTTCCTACTGTGGGCTCCCTGATGAAATGTGACCCAGGAGATGTAAGATAAAATAAACCCTTTCCTCCCCAAATTGGTATTGGTCAGAGTATTTTGTCACAGTAATGGAGAAACAAACTACAACAGAAATTGGTAACAAAGAGTGGGGCATTGCTGTGGCAGACCTGACCGTGGTGTTTTTAGGAGGATTATGGAAGCATTCGGAACTTTGGGCTGGAAAAGCCATTGGAGTGCTTAAAGTTTATGGCTGTGGAGCTTGGAACAATTATGCTGAAAGAGCTGAGAACAATGAAGGCCTGGCTTGTGATGCTTCCAAGGGAGGCAGAGGCTATCAGGATTGTTTGTGTGATATTTTGAATTGAGAATCTGTGGGTTCTGGTCCGCTGGGGCTGAAGAATCAGCTGTGATCAAGAGACCAGAATCTGAAGTAAAACCTTTGCTTTCCTGGGACAATTGATGCTGGTTAGCTGGGGCTGAAAAATCAGCAGTAAGTAACAGGAGACCAGCATCACCATGATGAAATCTTCTGAAAGTATTTCCTCAGGGTCAGCACACAGACACTGTCGTCAAGAGGGGGCCCGAGCCTCCATCTCTAGCTGGAAACAGTACTTGGTAATGTGTAAGAGTCTCCTGCATGATTTCTGGTGTTGAAAGCGTGAAGTAGTCACAGAGAGCAGCTTAGGCCTCTGTGAGGCCAGGAAAGGCCATAGGTGAAAGTGTGGCTTCAGTTGCATTGTAGACCCCATTGTGGTCATGGAAAGAATCTGAGGCTTTGCACCCCAAGAGGCAAGAAGAGGCAATTGGTGAAGGTGTAGCCTCAGTTTCAGTGGAGACCCCAGTTTTTGGAGATGCTGGGACCATGGGATGACCACCAAGGAGAGCAGTAGGTGTGGAATAGAGCTGGCCTGGATCTGCAAGACGAGCTGCATGTGCTGTGAATGGCAGAGTCAGAGAGGTGGAGCTGCCAGGACCCTTTCAAGCCCAGAAGATTGTGAGTGAATCTCAGATGTCCAGCCTTGAGCTACTTTGCTGGACTTTGGTTTTGTTTAGGTGTGCCCGATTCTTCCCTTTGCAAAAAGACAGTACTTGTTTGGATTTTACAGAAGCTCACCCACCATTAAGAGACTTTTAAAAGAGACTATGGTCTTTTAGGTGTTTGGATTTTTTTTTTTTGGTCTTTTTGAGACAGGGTCTCCCTGTAACCCCAGCTGTCCTGGAACTCACTATGTAGACCAGGCTGGCCTTGAACTCACAGAGATCCACCTGCCTCTGCCTCCCAAGGGCTGGGATTATAGGTGTGCGCCACCACACCCGGTGATGTTTAACCTTTTTTTTTTCCAGTTAATTATTTAATAACCACATACTTAGAAGAAGCATTTCATTACAACAGCATTGACATTTTCAATAAAAATTTTCTGAGCTAAGATGCATCTTTTTCAAAATTGGCTGTAATTTTTAAGTTTACAGTTGAATTATTACAGTTATACAATATTGTACTCAGTATAAACCGTTTAAGATATCAAGAAATGAGGTTTTACCCTTTAAAAAAGATCTCCATTTCATTATTAAATACACAGTTTCATATAGAAAAATTCATTTTTAATGCAATTGACACTAAGATGTTTGCACATGCATTTCTAATCCCTCTATATATAATCTTATTTATTTAAAAACAGTAACTTTCCTGGGCCTGGAGAGATGGTTCAGCTGTTAAGAACACCAGCTGCTCTTCCAGAGACCTGGATTTAGTAACCAGCAACCACATGACAGCTTACAACTCCAATTCCAAGGGATCTGATGCCCTCTTCTGGCCTCAGCAGGCATCAAGCACACGTACATACATACACGCAGGCAACAGTTATACAATATTGAACTCAGTATAAGCCCTGTAAGACATAAAATTGAATGAATTTTTAACCTTTAAAAAAAGATCTCCATTTCATTTCAGAATACATTGTTCCTTGCAGAAAGACTCATTGTTTTTGCTACTAACACTGACATGTTGGCACATGCATTTCTAATCTGTATGCATCTGAATATTACTAGTCATAATTGGTTGCACTTGGATCCTTGGCGCTTGTGTATGTCTATAAGGTCATCGGGTAGATTTCAATGGTAATGTTTATCACCTCTACTAATTAGCATGACGTAAATTTCCATACTTCCTCCTCAAATATAATACATTTTTAAAAATTTGTTGACTTTTTTGTGGTGTGGTGTGTGTGTGTGTGTATGTGTGTGTGTACCACACAGAACATCCCAAACCATCTTATTCAACTATACACCCACCTCCCAGATGGCATCCTCCAATAGCTTCCCTCCCCCCACTAAAGTCCTTATACTCTGATATCCCTGCTACTGTCTGCTGTATTGTCAGCACCCCCAGCCATTTCCCCCTACTTGCCCTTTTGGTGAATCTAGTCAGCCTATCTAGAGGTCTTTATTTTAGGAAGGTCAGCTGTTCCTCATCTAGCAGCAATCAGTTGGCAATATTTCTTTAGATAAGATTGGGGATCTGCTGTTCATTTTCACAGTTCTATGCTGGGTTACTATCTGGGAGTCCCTTTGGCCACCCTGGCCAACAACTCAAAAGAAGGTATCTCCTATCTGGCATTGTTGCTTGTTATGTAGCCTTTAGCTATGCATATGGACTCTTAAGAAATTATATTGGCCCCTTTAATCTTTGCTTATACTTTCCTTTTGGGTGTTTAAGGCCATACAGTTGACCCAGATAAACCAATTTATTTTTACTCTTAAGGTCATTTGAGGATCTGTTCCTCAGGGGTCACATAGGCTTGGGAGGAGCCCCTGGCTCCTTTCTTTTACCAGTTCCACCTATGTGAAGATACGTCAAAGGTCCCTGTTCGACCATGGCTGGCTTCACTCGGAAGCATGGAGGAAATGATTCCTCTGTGTTGACCCACCTCTTTGTAGACAGGACAGTGGTTCAAGTCCATCTGGTGGGGTCTCCTCGGCCTCCTTGATCAAGAGGACTCCTTGATCAAGCTCTTGGAGTTGTTGATTCTTTGTATTGTTTTCTTTGTTTCAATTTCATTAATTTCTGCCCTGATTTTTGTTGTTTCTTCTTGTCTGCTGGGTTAAGGGTCTATCTTGTTTAACCTTTCAAAGAACCAGCTCTTAGATTCATTGATGATTTTCTTTGTATTGTTTTCTTTGTTTCTATTTCTTTGATTTCTGCTCTGATTTTTGTTATTTCTTCTCATCTACTAGGTTTGGGGTTGGTTTGTTCTTGTCTTTCCAGAGTCTTGAGTTGTACTCTTAAGTCATCTGTAATGTGCTCTTTCTGATTTTTTTTAATGGAGACACTTAGAGCTATAAACTTCCATTTTAGGACTGCTTTTCAGGTGTCCCAGAGGTTTTGT